ATTAATCGAGCAGCATCAGAGAAAGAGGCCTGGGAGATCCTGGAAAGTGTCAGTAGTCTGATTGGAAATGGTGGCGAATGTCAGCAAATTCACTTTATCTGCACCAAGTCTGATCTTCTTGATGATTCAGATGATCTGTAAGTACAGTTTGAATGCTGATCAACTACAGGGTGTTTCCATGTAAGATCAACCTTGAGCCTTTTCTTTAATAATACAGAACATTTGGGTCAAAGGGAGTCTCAGAGGCAGATACAATTTTATAAAGTTTGCTGAAGATGGTGGACTGAGTAATACACAGAGAGGGAGGGGAATAGAGGAGAGTGGGAAAGGCAGTGGTAGAGGGACAGCAAGAGAGAACAGGGTGAGCAATAACAGCAGAGCAGGAGGAGAAAAAGATGAAACTGACATCATGGCAGCTTTAATGTATGTTGCACATAATCTATGAGATTATAGGAAATCATGCATATCCTGGTCCTTACAGTCGAGTAATTCAACAATTTTACACTGTAAAGCAAAAGTGCCATTACACTGTCCTTCAGCAACAAAGTTAAAATAGTTGCTGTGACAAAAAAAACATTTGTATGTGAGCATGTCAGCATGTGGTGACATCACGATCCAAATAAACATGCTGGCCTTTCTCCAAGTGCTTTAGAATAAATGCTACCAGTCTCCCATATTTGCGAGTTTGTTTGGCTTTTTTAACAGTCAAAATAAATACATTAAACAAATAAAGTCATATCATTATAAACTGGATCCGCAAGGCAGACTTGCACAACTAATATGACATTTAATAGGTTTATTTACAATGAAAGAAATAAAAAATGAACTGGTGAATTAGTGGAGAGCAACACCCTAAGGTGGCAGAGAAGCAGTGCCACAGCCAATCTTTAAACACAATTTAGGCGATGACCATGAGTTACAGGTGTGCAACAGTCAGGGAAAGCTCAGCTTTGTCAGAAAGGAAGCCTCCCACATTTCCACCTAAAGGCCAAAGCTACGTCCACACCTACATGGGTATTTTTGAAAACGCAGCTTTTTCTATGCGTTTGGGCTTTTTGTCCGCACGTAAACTGTGTTTTGTATCACTGATAACTGAGATTTTTTTTTTTTTAGAAAAAACTCGTGCCAGCGTGGAGATTTTTGAAAACTCAGTTTCTGTGTTTAACTGGAATACAGAGATTTCGTCACACAACGTTTTGACATCATGCTGTACACCAAAATATTGTTTCGATTAAATGAATTTCTACAATACAATAGTGGATTTACACAGTATACTGTTGCTGTTAATCTTGCTATCTGCAGTTTTTAGACGCTTACATATACACCCGCAGTTACTGTCCCTCCATTTTGAAAGACAGGAGTCAGAAGGGGTGTTCAAATTCATCTGCTGCATCCTCATGAGGCCGCATTTGTAGGCCGATTACATCACAGCAACGCAATGAGGGCTGTCCAAATTCGTAGACTCCTCCGAATGCGGCCGACAAATGTGTCCTTCATTTCCCCAGATTTGAAGGATGGGTCGGGTGTATCCTTCGTGGCCCACCATATCCCCGAATTCATAGCGCGGTCAAGCCAATTCCAGTTTCCAACAATGTGCTCCGACTTTTTCGGAGACGTCTGTTACCCAGGAGCTCGATAGCTCGAGAACAGCGAACTCCTGGCACATTGTTTTCAAACCTCCCGTGGTCTTTCGCTACTCAGGTTAAACATGATCTCATCAAATAAAGTCACTTAGATAACTGAAAATGTTACTGTTTGGCTTTTTTCAGTGTTTTATTTGTTTGTGAGTAAATCATTTTGGCTGAGATTAAAATTATTAGATTATAGTAGATTAAATAAAACTGTATTAATCTCTTGTGGGGATTGGGTGGGCGATACACAGCTGAATAAACGTCAAACAGAAAACTGATTAAACAGAAGTGTGAGATGATCAAGAATTTATGCCAGTGTCCTGTTATATTTTAGATAGCAAGGAGCAGACGGCTGAGTTTATTAAACTCCGAGACAGCTGGTGACGCAAAACTGAAGGCTAGATCGTCCAATTTCACAGCTGCTCGCTTCTGGCCTACCCGGCCTCCTGAGGACCCGGCCTTCGCGGTTTACATGGACCGGGTCCTCAGGAGGATGCAGCCTATGAATTTGGACACCCCTAGAGTGAACTTCGGACGTGGCTTCTACATTAAACAGAAGCCAAATCCCGATGCCAACGCGTCGTTGTTTTTGAATACATTTAATTTTTTTAAATTAAATATTTGTATGCTGTATGCATAAATAAGTTGTGAGTCTACACCAGCCATATTTCACAGCGCTGTGACTTATGATTTTAAATCACTCAGACTAATGTAGTATTTGTCAGTTTTGTTCTTATTTGAATAAACTCTGGCCAAGAGAGCCAGTGAGGCAAAATCCAAAGTACTGTCTTTAGTTATTAACATTATTCAAATAATGAAAGCGTTTGAAAATGGCACTTGAAAAGTAACACAAAATTAGTTGCCTTTTCAGAAAAACAAAAACTTTTCAGAAGTACTTAAGGTTTTGTGTTTACTTGTTTACTTACTCCCAAGAAGGTTAGGATTTGGCATGTTCTTGACAGCGTTTGACTTTGTGTTTGCGTTTACATGTGAACAGAGATATATTTTTTAAACTGCACATGTGGATTGGGTTTTTTTTTAAACGAAGACAGACGTAGCTCAAGAGTAAATCAAAATCACCCAGCCTGCCCCAAATTAATCATGGTGATGATAATAGCGATGATGGTAACAGTACATATATGCAAATTTCATGTAGTTCATCAGCTGATATCCATGATCGAATAGTTAAAAGAAACATTCAAGCCAAGAGTGAAGTAAAGAAGGCATTCAACAAGCGAACCAAGATTAAGGTGAGTTTTATAGGCTTACAGAAAACAATACAGACTATCCACAGTTGCAAAGATGCTTTAAAATTAAATCATTTTTCCGCAGAAACACTTCACTGATGACAGTTTCAAAGTGTTCACAGTGAGCTCCAGAGAGTTCTTAAAAGGGAAGCATCTAAATCCAGAAGAAACTGGTAGGTGAAGTCTCAGTGCACATGTTGTTTTAGTTTGCTCTGACTGAAAGAAAAAATATTTAGTTTGAATTAAAGTGTGTAATGTCAAACTGTGGCACTGAAATTTCTTCCTTACAGAAATAACCAAACTTCAGAGATTTTTGCAAGAACTCAATGACTGTCACTCAGAGACAGTAAACTATGTGAATGGAGCTTATGGGATTCTGTCTTTGATTCAAGGAGCCAACTCCAGAGGAGTGGTAAGGTCAAGTAAAAGATATACAACAACATTCTCTTACATGTTGGGATTTATCAATTGTCTTTGTGTTTCTTATTTAGTTTTTTTTTTAAATAATTTATGGGTTATTACTTATCTCATATATTTTTGCTGTTATATTTAGTTTCTCAGGTTCTTATTACAGAAAAGTGATTTTTCAAACCAACTGAATTCAAAAACCTATAAGAAACGACAAGTAGTTTTTATGGTTTTATTACTTCAAATATTTTTCAGGATAGTAAAAAAAGCGAGGTGTTTGGAGAACTTGAGAGAATCATGAACTTCCAACTTGAAAATGTCCGAAAAGAAATGGAAGAGACCATTATGGCTTTTGAAAAATGTCTTAATGATGGCGTTGAGAAATCCAAAGGTTCATATGGAGAAAAACTCAAGAACTTCTTGTATCGTGTATGTATTTTAAATATAGTTACAAAAAATTTACAGATTTAACAGTAATATGTATTTAAATAATTTTGTTTTCTTTTTTGTTTTAGGGAAAGAAGGGTGGTGCTTTTCACAGGGTACTGAAGTGTGTCGTTGAGAATGGTGGCATCCACAAACCAAAGAACGGGAAACTAATTAACCTTAATATGAAGTTGGCTTCATGTCTGACTGACAGCATTGATGAAGAATTCAGAAAGACCTTCCCGTAAGAAAAAACACGTTCTAAACAGTCACATAATATTATTCAAGATAATTTATAACATATAAACTTGCCAATTCTGCCATTAATAACCACAATGTTTATATGTTTTAGAAATGACTCAGAACGTGGAGCATTCAACGGAGTCATCGATGAATTTTCTCTTAACACTAATTCTCTGATTGAAAAGTACAAAAGTGCTGAACTGCAGCTCAGATTTCTCAAGACAGAGGTAAGAGATGAAACTTTCCTGTCTAAACTAATGGACAGTAAAAAAAATGTTTTATGACTTTATATGATTTAAAATGATTTTCATCCGTATTTCATGTTTTGTGTCTAAGGAAGAAAAAATTAAGGCAAAACTGAACAGAATGATGCGGGAACAGAAGAAAAGAGTCTACAGCAGTCTGACAGAGACAATTGAAGACATTATGGAAGAAGGCTACTGCAGTAAGAGATAAAATCAGAGATTCACAACTTGGCACTAAAACACATATTTATCATTATTCAGAAAGAGAAATCTGATTGGAGTTTTCTGTCTTATTGTAGAGGCTGCAGAATTTGAAGGAGAAGGCACGCTGTACAACATGAGAGAGACTATTACGGACCACGTGCACTCAAATAAGGACATGTTTGAGCAGGCAAAAAATACCATGTTGGAGAAGTTGCACCGTTTGAAGGTTTGTCATGTTTTATGAAGAAATATGATTACCATATTTTGTTATAATTCACCCAAAGGCTTTTTCTGTTTAGCTGGAATAGACGTAGACAAAAATGTATGTTCAGTTTATATTTTTAATCCAGTTTGAGAAACTTCTAAATGTCATTGTATTTGACTTTAACACATTTTGATCTGTGATAAGTAATTACAATTTCTAAAATAGGTAAACATCCTGGAGATTCTGGAGAAAATTATGAAGGAATCCATTGAACGTTCATTTAAAACTGATGGGAGCTCACTCCCAGGTAAACAGGACAGTTTGCTGTAATTACATTTGATAATGCTTTCTTCCTTTTCACTTTATCTTTACAGTCTTGCACCTGATAGCACAGTCTGTTTACCTATTTGTCTATCTATTTTTTAATTAACTTAAAAATTACTGAGTGACACTGTTACTGTGGTGGGAAACAATTAAAAAATGTTTTGTTTTTCAGATGTTTCAACAGAGCTTGAGATGGTGAAAAAATATTATGATCAACTTGCAGCCACTCCCGACGATGGAACATCACTTGGTAAATCCTTAAATGTCATCATCAGTATTACATTAAATGTTTTAAATTCAAACAATTGTCCTTAATGGAACCAATGGAAACCAAAGTTTCCATTTGTTATCGCTCTTTGTTAAACCTCTTTTTCTGTTTTTGTCATGGTTGGCTGTGTGGCAGGCAGGCAAGCAGGAGTGGTGGACCCAAAATGCAGGACTCAGACTCAAGGGATGAACTCAAAAGCTTTTATCTCAGCTTTATTTCCTGGCACAGGAAAACAAGCTTACAAAGGAAACTAAACTGAACTGGGAAAAAACATAAACTCACAGGAAACACAAGGAGATCGACACAGCACAAGGGTGAACTGACATTAACAATGCGACAACAAGAACTAACTGACAGGGACTAAAATACACTGGCAGGCAAATGAGGAAACGAGGAACAGGTGGGAACACAGCCGGGAGAAATTAGACTAAACGAGACAAAGGAAGCGAAACTAGAAACACTGAGATAAGATATGAACCTTCAAAGTAAAACAGGAAATCCACAGACAACACAGATAACTCTGACCAAGAACAGGAGGAACACAGTACAGGGGTCAGAGTGACATCAGGGGCAAAGGAATACACAAGCTAAGAAATATAGAACAGAAACCAAAACACCAGTAGTCATAAGCCAAGAATCCAAAGGAAAACAGACCAATAAACAATAATATAGAATCAAAACACTGGGCCACAGGCCCAGAACCGTGACAGTTTTGGATGTTTCAGATTTGCTGACTGGGTAGAAACTGCAGAAACCTGGACACAAACAGGTTCTCCCAGAGGAAGTGCTGATTAAATAAAAAAACCATCTTTGATTGATTTTGTCTCAATCATTTTCAGTTGTTTTTGTTTGGTCTATTTAAAAGTTGTTTGGTGACATTTGACTTTGATTTTGAGAATGTCTGTATCTTTAATGATTCAAATCTTGAGGCTGACAGAGCAGTTTGAGGAAAAACTGAAAGAGATTTACATTACATCACTCTACATATATTTCAAATCTATTTTAATGTTTTTATTCATGAGTTTAGTTATGGCTCATTCAGATGCTAATGACATTTATATAACACATTTCAGTACATATAAAATCAGTCTACTTAACATAGAAGATAAAAACATGGCAACACTTTATAATACAGCCCATACCTAACGCGTAGTTCCCCAGTAATTAAATGGAATATCAATGTATTTTATCTAAAATTACAATTAAAACTGTGATTGTATTTACCTACAAATATTTCTAAAATGTTTAGTACTATAATCTAATGAATCCTAAAATTGATCTTGTAAACTTTGAGACAGGATTGGTCAGTTAGGGTAAGTAGCTCCATCTCCGTCCTGTAGCTACATGACTAGTTTTATCCCTCTACATTGTGTCCATCTTTTCCCTCAATTTCAGGAGTTCTTTTCACTGTGGAATTAATTGTCTGATTATGAGATTAAAAGTAGTTTTTCATCTCAACTTTTCACACTCAAATATGTGTTTTTGACAGGTTTTCATACATTAGAGCCACAGCAGAGGGTGTTTTTCTTGAAAACAATATCTGAATTAGGATTAGATGGATTTGTGTATGAGAAACACCAATAGTCATAGATTTATTTGTAAAAGTTTTTTTCAAGGACACATTCATACTTCTTGTCATGCTATTTAATTGTACGTTTCTTGCTCCCAACATTTCTGACCTGTCATCTATGTTTATTCTTCACAAAAAATATTACATAAACATTGTTTTGGCAGTAGTATTAGCAGAATCTGTTGTGATATTTTGACAACATTGTGTGTTGTTAACAGAATTTGACCTCTGTCACACCTAACAGCCATTTTTGTTGTTATGCAGGTCTTTCCAAGTACTCGGTGCCATTTGAGGCACTAACTCCTTCCCCACAAAAGAACTGAGTATATTTTGTATAAAAATATATTATCACATTATTTCTAAAAGCTTGTCCTAAAATGTTAAACCCAATTTACCTTTGTAATAAATTCTACATTTCAGGAAATATTATTTTCTTTTTTTTTTTTAGCATGTGTTAGGTTTTGTATTGTTGATTGTCATTTATGCTTAGCAATATTTAACCATATATGCTTAGAGGTGTATAATCAATTGTGTAGTGATAGGATGTGTGATCTTTAGCAGGCTGCAAAGGCTTGGTGTGCATTCCAGGAATGCACACCTACATCCTGGGAGCATGGGAAGAGGTCGTACCTTGTTTTAATGTTTTACGGTAGGATTAACGTAGCTATGTCAGTTTTAGTCTAAGTGCTTTTTACATATAGATGGATTGTTGGATTTTCCAGACCAGCAGGTTAAGGGAAGTCATTTATGGGGTCACACTCTGACCCCACACACACACACACACTTACACAACGCACAGGAAAGGTACTCTTTGTTTGTATGTAGACGTCATATGTTAATGAACCTATGCATATTCATGGACCTCAATAAAAGAGCAGTGTTACGGGGGAGCGGAGAGAGCAACTGGGGTCAAGCGAAGGAACGGCGTTTGTCCGGTTCTCTCCCGTGCACGAGGAACATGAAGAACTTTGCCTACTTCGTGTCTTGCTTGCTGTGTAATTATATTGTCTTCAACGTTCCAGCGAATAGGTTCAAGCTACAAACCTATCAGTATGAGTATCCGAAAATGCCATCATTTTTGTTTAGGTTCAGTTGTTAATATAAGTTATAAAAATTTGACAAAAACATTTGACCTTCTTCATTACAGTTTTACAGCCATATTCATAATATTATAGCCAGAAGTTTATTTTATTCCACTAAGGCATTTTTCAATGCTTAAAGTCATTGAAATAAGTCTCTGAATAGTCTTTACTCCCATTACTCTTATGGAAATCCTTCTGAATTTGAATTGTTTTTTGTTGTTTTTGTTTGTTTGCTTTCTTTTTGTTTTTTGAGGGGGGAAAAAAGAACCAGAATAAATATCAATCTTTCATCAACCTTTTTCTCAGTTTTTCTGAATGATTCACAAATGTGTCAAAGCATACCCTGTCCACCCTCTTGTAGTTATTTACAGTATAAACTGATACTGCATCACATAAGTCTGTGATTCTTAACCACTGGGCCATGAGCCACACTTTGAGGGCTGGAAAAAAAATGGTATTTTACACCTGTGTCCCTGTCCATTAAAAATAATTTCACTTCCAATGCAGCTTCCCACCACTTGTTGGGGGTTGTTTAATCAGCCTCAATAAGCAACCAGAAGAAGACAGTCTGCCCGCTGTTTACAAATAGCAAAATATATGGAGAAGTTCTTAAAATGCAAAAATGAATATAAAAGTGACAACCCCCCGTCCAAAAGGCAACATTTTTGTGCAAGTTTAACCCTGACTTCCTGAAGTATGTGTTTGTGAACGGAGGAAACGAGGCGGACCTGAGAGCCCAGTGTGCAAAGTGTGGACTAATGCTACCCAACGAAGCACTGAACTGATTTTACCCGTTGCTGTATACTGTATATGTGTCATAAGCTGATGGGAGAGGCTGCTGCAAACAAGCTACTGACCATCCCACTCTCAAACGAAACTCTGAGCCACCATATTACAGACATGGTCTTAGACATACAGCATCAGCTTCTGGAAAGACTAAAAAGTACTACATTTTTCTCTTTGCAACTAGACGAGTCCCTTTTTTTCTTGTCTCTTTTGCTGTAGTAAAATTGAATTATTATTATTTTTATCATTAAGCTTGACTCGAGCCTTTCAATTTCTACTTGCAGTTGGATTTGTTCCATGAATTGTTGACCTGTTTGGCATTTTGTTTTATGTCCAGGTTCACATACAAGTAATAAATAAATGTCTTTGTGATTATTACATTGCATTATGTCATCATCCTGTTTATTTAGTTTTAGTTGTTAAAATGACGTACATTTGATTTAGTTATTAAATATAACTCAAACCAAAAGCAACCTCAGTTTATTGAATACAGTGTTAATATCTGAATGGGCCATGAGTCACTTTGTAGTGAAAACGTTGGGCCCCGAGGTAAAAAAAAAAAGTTTAAGAACCCCTGACATAAGTAATAATGACTAATTTAAGCATAAAACGTCTTCCTTATGCACGAGCTTGATTTTAAAAATTTGGGTTTGTCAACATTCCCAAAAATCATAAATAAGTAACAAACCAGTATATTTGTGAGATTATATACCTTATGTCACAAAGTGATGTCAGTGATTTATGATAGGGTAATATATGATAATTAAACAGTAGTATGTTTGACATATATATATATACATATATATATACATATATACATATATATATATATATAAATAAATTTAGCCACACTATCCACTTTTACAAGCAACAAATCCCCAGTCAGGCATAATGTGTTGTGAGTAATTCCTCATAATTTCTTCTTCTTACAGATTCCCGGATTCCTTTAGGATTAACCACAATGATTCGCCTCCTTGGTGGGTTTCCTCTTTTCCCCCTTTGCCTCCAAACTGCTCAGCCCCAGCTGTTTCTCTGATGTACTAATTTTTAATCTTGTTCATTCTGATCACTCCCAATAAAAATCCTGGCAT